TTAGGGTTTAGGGTTTAGGGTTTAGGGTTTAGGGTTTAGGGTTTAGGGTTTAGGGCGTAGGGTTTAGGGTTTAGGGTTTAGGGGGTTAGGGGGTTGTAGGGGTGTGTATGGGGTGTAGGGGTGAGGGGGTTTAGGGTTTAGGGGGTTTAGGGGGTTTAGGGGGTTTAGGGGGTGAGGGGGTTGAGGGGGTTGAGGGGTTTGGGGGTTTAGGGGGGTTTAGGGGTTTAGGGGGTTTAGGGGGTTTAGGGGAGGGGGGTTGGGGGGGGGGGGTTTAGGGGGTTTGGGGGGGGTTTAGGGGGTTTAGGGGGTTTAGGGGGTTTAGGGGGTTTAGGGGGTTTAGGGGGTTTAGGGGGTTTAGGGGGTTTAGGGGGTTTAGGGGGTTTAGGGGGTTTAGGGGGTTTAGGGGGTTTAGGGGGTTTAGGGTTCAGGGTCCATTGTGCAAGGCTTCCGGTCCCTAAGCCCTACACCACATCAACCAGTAGGGTGTAGTGAGTGCTTGGGGATTTACACCTCAGCCCCTGCATCCATGTGACCTGTAGGGCTTAGTCTCAAAGAGCCAAACCCTAAACCCTAAACCCTAAACCCCAGTACCTTAAACCCTAAATCCACAACCCTAATCCATAAACCCTAAACCCCAGTACCCGAAACCCTAAACTCTAATCCATAAACTCTAACTCCTAAGCCCTAAACCCTAAACCCTAAACCCTGAACCCTGAACCCTAAACCCCAAACCCTCAACCCACCAGCCACGCGGCATAGTAGTCGAAGATGCCACCCTTGGAGGGATACTTGACATTCTTCATCTCACCCTTCCACCAGTTGCCTTGCCAAGGGTTTAGGGTTTAGGGTTTAGGGTTTAGGGTTTAGGGTTTAGGGTTTAGGGTTTAGGGTTTAGGGTTTAGGGTTTAGGGTTTAGGGTTTAGGGTTTAGGGTTTAGGGTTTAGGGTTTAGGGTGTAGGGTGTAGGGTTTTAGGGTTTTAGGGTTTTAGGGTTTAGGGCTGCTCTGAGGGTCCTTTTGGGGTCCCCATACAGCACAGCACCCTTAAAAAAGGACCCCAAAGGGACCCTAATTTCTAGGCTGCCCAGTAACCTAGGCTTAAAAAGGGTGCCCTTTTTTGCTTAAAGGGGTTTATAAGGGAACCTAAACCCTCCAAAAAGGGAATAAGGGTACTACTGGGCATCCTAGATTTAGACTGCCCAAGCACTAGTGCGGCATTCAGGGCAGAGGGAAGGGCATTTTGAGTTTTTGCAGCGTTTAGGGGCTTTTCGGGAAACAAGGGAATGCAAAGGAACCCGCTAGTGTTCTCAAACCTAGGAACACCCATCACCAGCAGCATTTACGGACTCCGGATAAACTGCCTATTATGCAGAAGGGGACACCATGGGCGCTTCTTTGTTTTCTACCGTTAGCCCGACCCTACCCCAAAAACCCTCACACCAAAACCTGAAGGGCTCATCTCCGTCTTCAATAGGCTCAGGGCTCATCTGCTTCTACTATAGGGGCCTGAAGAATATCCAATAGGGTTTTGGGGGTTTATTATAGTACAACTATAAAGGGACCATAAGGGAATACATGTAATTATTCCGATCCTAAACCCTAAACCCTAAACCCTGAACCCGACACCCTAATAAACCCCATTACGGGTTGTGGCTTGCCCCTTATATACCCCGTATATACCCCATAAAACCGAGAGCCCCATACTTCAGAACCCTTTTCAAGAAGGTTAAGGGACCATATTAAGGGACGACAGGCCCTAAACCCTAAACCCTAAACCCCAAACCCCAAACCCGAAACCCCAATAAACCCTAATAAACCCTACTATGGGTGGGTCGTGGCTTGTCCAACAACCCCCAAAGAGTCCATGCACCTGTGTAGTTTATACTTGGGCCTGAAAAAGGGTTCCTATACAGTAGCTTTAAGGCCCAAGAATATACCATATCTGTGCAGGGACCCCATAAACCCTAAACCCTAAACCCTAAACCCTAAACCCTAAACCCTAAACCCTAAACCCTAAACTACCCTAAACCCTAAACCATAAACCCTAAACCCGAATAAACCCTACTACGGGTTGTGGCTTGTCCAACCACCAGGCAAGCGGCTGAAGTTCTTGCGGTAGTCGACGCCGTCCACCTCGCTGAGGCACAAGCCCACGGCCGAGGTGAAGCAGAACATGAACCAGTACCTGGAGGGTTTAGGTTTTAGGGTTTAGGGTTTAGGTTTTAGGGTTTAGGGTTTAGGGTTTAGGGTTTAGGGCTTGGGGTTTAGGGTTTAGCTTTCACGAAACCCCACACCCTAAACCCGAACGTTCAAGGACTGAGTGGCTCTGTTGCCTGCGGGGAACAGGGGGTGTGGGGTCAGTAGCTCCTTGTGTGGCCATAGATTAGAAAGGCCGGTGGGCTCTTTATCTGTTCCCCTTATACCTTAACGTCGCCCCTAGATGCCCTAACAAGTAAGGACGCCGATATGCCACCATAAAACCGAAACCCTACTTAAAGAGACCACCAACCCATATCAGCCATAGAGGGAGTTTGTTCTTAGCTGTGCCGTTTCCGAGAATGCCCAGCGTGCCGTACCCATCCACCGACACCTTCAAAGAGTTTGGGGTTTAGGGTTTAGGGTCCATGTACCTGATTATTATATAATTGAGGCCCAAAGTCCCTAAGTAGGAAGTACTTTAAACTTTAAGGCCCAAGTATTCCCTGCTTAGGTGCATGGACCCTTAGGGTTCATGGGCCCCGACAGCAAAACCTCTAACCCATGCGAAACCAGCCGCAAGGCCCGCAACCCTAAACCCTAAACCTTAAACCCTAGAGCCCAAAACCCTTAATCCCCTAAATCCTAAAACCCCAAACCCTAAACCGCGCAAACCCGAAACAACCCTAGGCCCAAACCTTAACAGACCGAAACCCTCAACCTAAAACCTACGTGGGGATTTTACGCAATTAGGGAACCCAGAATTTTGACCCCCACATAGTAGGACCCAAAAAAGGTACCCCCCCCCCCAATTTCGGACACCCCACATCCTAATACCTAACCGCTCATCCGAAACAGCCTAGACCCGTGACTAGACCGCCAACCCAAACGGGCAGCGAGTGGGACTGTCTTGCGCGCATGGTCTCAAATATACCCTAATTATGGGTGTCCTTATTCTGAGGGAATCCAACTATTTGGGGGTCAATATTAGGGGTCCCTAATACTAATTTTCGCAAACTCCCAAATCATGTCTTGCTGAATTCGCTTGGATGTATTCATGGTCTCTGCTGTAATACCAAACAATATCCTGTAGTCCTCCCTAAATAAACCCTAAACCCTAAACCCTCAACCCGAAACCTGCTTCGTTTGAAGTACTTGCTTGCCTTTGATGGCTAACTTACGGTGGCGGGCCCATGTTGTGGAGAGTCCGGACAAACTTGTGCACAAGCCCTAAGGGTCCATGTACCTTACTATTGTATACCTGTTAAGGTTGCTAAGGTACTTCCTACATAGAGATGTTATGGCCCAGGTACATAATAATCAGGTACATGGACCCTTAGGGAAGCCCATAAAACCAAAGAATAAAGTCCGACGAAACAGCAGATTTGACAGATGCGAGTTCGACCCGAAACCCGAAACCCGAAACCCTAAACCCTAAACCCCAAACCCTGAACCCTAAACCCTAAACCCTAAACCCTAAACCCTAAACCCTAAACCCTAAACCTGAGTCCGCCACTCCAGGGAGTCGAAGACTGCCGGGCTGAGGAGGTTGTCCAGGAGGCTGCAGCAGGCGCTGATCAGGCAGATGTCGACCTAAGGTTAGAGGGTTTAGGGTTTAGCGTTTAGGGTTTAGGGTTTAGGGTTTAGGGTTTAGGGTTTAGGGTTTAGGGTTTATCTGTGTAGGGTTTAGGGTTTTGGGTTTAGGGTTTTTTGGGGTTGAGGGCTTTCAGGGTTTTGGGCTTAGGGTTCAGGGCCTTGGGGTTTAGGGTTTAGGATTTGGCGTTTGGGGTTTAGGGCTTTCAGGGTTTGGCGGTTAGGGCGTTCAGGGTTTAGAGCGTAGGGCTCAGGGCTTAGGATTCAGGGTTTGGGGTTTAGGGTTTGGCGTTCGGGGTTTAGGGCTTTCAGGGTTAAGGACTTTCAGGGCTTGCAGGGTTTAGTGCTAGGGTTCAGGGCTTCTAGGGTTTAGGGTTTAGGGTTTAGGGTTTAGGGTTTAGGGTTCAAGGGCTTTTAGGGTTTAGAGTTTAGGGCTTTCAGGGTTTCGGGTCTAGGGCTGGGATTCAGGGTTTGGGGTTTAGGGCTTTTAGGGTTCAGGGTTTAAGGGTTTGGAACTTTGGGGTTCTTAAGGAATTCTTTGTATAAGGGCTTTCTTTCGTGAGGGGTCTTTTACTGACGCTTTTGGGCCGAGTTGGGGATTTCTTTGCGGCTTTAGGGTTTGGGTGGTCGGGACTTTGGGGTTTAGGGTTTAGGGTTTCGGGTTTCGGGTTTAGGGGGTTTAGGGGGTTTAGGGGGTTTAGGGGGTTTAGGGGGTTTAGGGGGTTTAGGGGGTTTAGGGGGTTTAGGGGGTTTAGGGGGTTTAGGGGGCTTAGGGGGCTTAGGGGGCTTAGGGGGCTTAGGGTTTAGGGTTGAGGGTTTAGGGTTTAGCTTGGGGGGGGGGGGGTCTTATGGTTTAGAGCTCAAGGTCATTTTGAGTCGAGGGCTTCGGGAAGTTTAGGTCTTTAAAGCGTCTAAAGGGTCTTAGGGCTGCTGGGCTGGTGGCTTAGGGCTGAGAAGCTTAGGGTTGAGGGTTTAGTGTTTAGGGCTTAGGGTTGTTTGAGGTCTTAGCCGCCCCTCCACACCCTTCAACTCGCGCCGGGGCAAGGGGGGGGGGGGGGGAATTCGGTTTTTGCTACTCGGGATGCTCCCCCTTCGAATTGTAATTGGGGGGGGGGGGGGGGCTAAACCCTAAACCCTGACCCTTAACCTTAAGGAAGCCCGAATTAACAGCCCGGGTTGCCATGGGCACCAGGATCTTCGTGTTCTTGAGCATCTAGAGCGTGGTGCTGGCTCCACACCTGCCCACTGGGTTTAGGGGTTAGGGTTTAGGGTTTAGGGTTAAGGGTTTAGGGTTTGCACCTGACCGCTGGGCCGGGTTGGGACTGGGAGACAACTGGGCCGGTTGGGGGTTTAGGGTTACGGGCTTCGGGTGTAGGGTCTTTCTTTGTAAGAAACTCAGGAATCCCCCTGAACCGTGAAGCCTTAGGATCTTTCTTTGTAAGGAATTCAGAAATCCCCCTAAACCGTAAAGCCTTAATCCCTAAGCACGAACCCCTAAACCGTGAAACCTTGAAAGCTCCAAGCCCGAAAAAGCCTCCCTGCCCCGTACCTTAATGCTAAACATTAAGCCCTAAGCCCTAAACCCTGAATGCTAAACCCTAAACCCTAAACCCTAAACCCTAAACCCTAAACCCTAAACCCTAAACCCTAAACCCTAAACCCTAAACCCTAAACCCTAAACCCTAAACCCTAAAGCAGGCGGGAGCCGGCCTCTCGAAGAAGGTCCAAAGCTGCTCCTTGACGTTGTCCGGGTGCTCCTGGAGTTTAGGGTTTAGGGTTTAGGGTTAGGGTTTAGGGTTTAGGGTTTAAGATTTAGGATTTAGGGTTTAGGATTTAGGGTTTAGGATTTAGGGTTTAGGGTTCGGGTCTAGGGTTTAGGGTCTTAGGGTCTAGGGTTTACGGTTTAGGGTTTAGGGTTTTAGGGTCTAGGGTTTAGGGTTTAGGGGGTCCTATAAGCTCGCAAAACGTAACAAAACCCCAAAACCCAAAACCTAACAAAGCTCTACCACCCTAAGCCCCCAAAATCTCAGCTCAGATTTAGAGGTTTCCTAGGGTACGTGCGGGGCCCTGAGACTTACGGGGTTGAGGGTGTAGGGTGCGTGGGGGCTTCTAGGGACTATGGGACCCAAGTATATAATAATGAGGTACATGGACCCTAAACCATAAACCCTAAACCCTAAACCCTAAACCCTAAACCCTAAACCCTAAACCCTAAACCCTAAACCCTAAACCCTGGACCCTTAGGGTACACTATGGATCGTTGAGGCGCGACGACGGAGATGCCGAACCTATTCGCTGAATGGCGTCTCTGGTCTAAGTCAACCCCGTTTTCGATTTCGGCTTGTGGAACCCTAAACCCTAAACCCTAAACCCTATAAACCCTAGACCCCAAACCCTAAGCCCTAAACCCTAAATCTTGCCAGTCCTGCTTCTTGATCCAGCTCTTGACGTAGGATCGCCACTGGACGCCAAAGGTGTCGTCCATACCTACAGCCGTAGGTATCCCTGTAACTTTAGGAAACGGCTGGGTGCCGCACTTGTCTTGGCTCATAGCAAAGTGGGTTAGGGTTTAGGGTTTAGGGTTTAGGGTTTAGGGTTTAGGGTTTAGGGTTTAGGGTTTAGGGTTTAGGGTTTAGGGTTTAGGGTTTAGGGTTTAGGGTTTAGGGTTTAGGGTTTAGGGTTCAGGGCTTACAGCTCCAGGCGGTTTCGAGTCTAAGGGCTTAGGATTTCGTGTCTTCTCCCCTCGAGACCTCAAACCTTTGACCTCCCAACATCTCCGAAGCCGAAAACCTCTGAGAACGCAAAATCTCTCCTGGACCGCAAATCTTGAACCCCCAGGTCTTTAGGGTCTAGGGCTTACGGTTTAGGGTTTCGGGCTTAGGGTTTCGGATTTTAAGGTTTAGGGTTTATATAGGTCTCAAACCCTAGACACGCAGAAGAACCCCCGCACACCGCCCTTGTGTCTTTCGAAGGCCTTGCGCCGTACAGCTTTGTGCATCTGGGTGTCAGAGCAGCCCCGGGAATAAAAGGTTTGGGTGGGTTTAGGGTTTAGGGTTTAGGGTTTAGGGTTTAGGGTTTAGGGTTTAGGGTTTAGGGTTTAGGGTTTAGGGTTTAGGGTTTAGGGTTTAGGGTTTAGGGTTTAGGGTTTAGGGTTCAGGGTTCAGGGTTTAGGGCTTAGGGCTTAGGGCTTAGGGTTTAGGGTTTAGGGTTTAGGGTTAGATGATTTAGGGAATATACCCCTAATGGGGGCTTCAAGCTTTCAAGGGGGAACCTTCCTTCCCACCCCTCCCCCGCCCCTGCCCCGCCCTGGCCCCTCCCGGGTGAAAAAACTCAACAAGAGAAAGAAAACATGACAGCAATGCAGACGCATATGCAATAATGATCGAACAACCCTAAACCCTAAACCCTAAACCCTAAACCCTAAACCCTAAACCCTAAACCCTAAACCCTAAACCCTAAACCCTAAACCCTAAACCCTAAACCATAATCATGGCCATGATAGTAGGGGCCCATGGGCCCATGGGGTGGGGGTGGAAGTCCTACTCGGAGGTTCATGGTACTTAACATCCCAATTAAAACTGTACGGACAACCCAATTGTAACCATACTAGGGCACTGAAAGGGCGTCTAAGTGGGTTATAAGTACAGTTATTTCCTGAAACCTGTATCTATACTTCAGCGAACTGCCCTTATAGGATTTAGGGCTTAGCGTTTAGGGTTTAGGGCTTAGGGTTTAGGGACCCAAATCCCTGGCCGTGGGACAGACGATGCCCGCGCGGGTGGCCGTGGCCGGCGTGGCGTAGTTCAGGTCTCGGATCTCGAAGATCATCTTCATGTGCACCTGTTCAAATGAGGGTTTCCGAAGATAGGGGTACCCTTTTGGGGGTCCCTTTGAGGGGATTCGATTCTATTTTGGTGCGTCCCCTTATGGGCCCAAGACACCAAATGATAGGGGTTTTGGGGCCCAAAACAGAGGGAAGCCTTAAATAACGGGTCTTGGGCCCTTAGGGGTCCCCCTTTTCAGAAGATTGGGCTGTAGAGAGCCGAACACACAGCTGGCCTAGCACGACGCCCTGACTTCTTCCCCGACTGAAACACCAAACCCCAAACGCCACACCATAAATTTAGGGTTTGGGAGCAAAGGCACTAGTCCCAAGAGAGGAACACGACTCGAGGTCTGACTCCAAACAAGTCTAGACTCCCCCTGAACCCATACTTGTAGCTCTTGTTCGGGGTTTGGTCTTTAGCGTTTAGGTGCCAAATTGCTCCTATCTTGTACGAACTCATGAAAATGAAGCACCTCGAAAAAGGCAGACCCTAAACCCTAAACCCTACACCCTAAAGACCGAGGTAGGACTACACTGTTGTCGCGTTTGGGTTTCGGGGGTGACGAGGTTTTTTAGGGTTTAGGGTTTAGGGTTTAGGGTTTAGGGTTTAGGGTTTAGGGTTTAGGGTTTAGGGTTTAGGGTTTAGGGTTTAGGGTTTAGGGTTTCCTAGCAACTCACGAAGCAGAGGAGGGCAACCATGGATCTTATGATCCTGCTGATGGGTGGTTTTCTAAAGTCGGGTCCCTTGTTGGGCCCTATTATATATATTATTAATATGTATATATATATATATATTAATATATATATATATATTAATATATATATATATTAATATATATATATATATTAATATATATATATATATATTAATATATATTATACAGCACCTTATTAAGAGGACCCCCAATTCAAAGGACCCGAATTAATTCAGAGGCTGCGGGACACTGCGGGAACTGTACTAGGGTTAGAGTCCAAGGGTTTAAGCGGTTTAGGGCTTAGGGAACCTTAAGAACCTAACCCTAAACCCTAAACCCTCCGAACCGCCTTCAGCGGAATTCGCTCGTTGGATGGCAAGGTGAGCAGTCCTTGGCCAGGGCAAGCCCTAAACCCTAAACCCTAAACCCTAAACCCTAAACCCTAAACCCTAAACCCTAAACCCTAAACCCTAAACGGCGCCGCTCAGCTGATGGCGCACGGGTACCAGCTCACAGGCAGTACGACACAAAGCGTGATAGAACTGGTCTTGCGCCCCCCTCAACCCTAAACCCTAAACCCTGGTAACCCTAAGCCCCAAGCCCCAAGCCCCAAGCCCTAAACCCTAAAACCTAAACCCCACGACCTAAACCCTAAATCCTAAATCCGGCACCTCAGCGCCGAGATGAAGACCGGAAAAAACACACCCTCCTCGTCGGTATCTGGCCAGCCCTAACAGGGCCTTGCACTAAGGGTTGATTCCCAGACCCCTGGGACCCTGGGAGGATCCAAAAAGTAGAAACCCCAAGTAGTACCCTGTACTACTCTTGGGTCGTTCTTAGGAACCCTGAAGGGGATCCAAGGGTAGGGATCCCAAAAGTAGAACTCCCAAAGAGTACCCTACACCACTATCTTAGGAGCCCATAAGGGGATCGACTGTAGGAGCCTGCTTCATTAGAATGGGGTTGGGGGGGGGGGGGGGGGAATTGTAGTATACAACTTAAAAAGGGGCCATAAGGGAGGGAATGCTATTAGTAATTATATTCCGACCCCTAAATTTCTTTTTGGATCCTCTTCCAGGGGTCTGGGTTGGAGTTTTTCACCGGCTCCAGCCAGATTCCAGCAGTGCTGCGGTCGGCGACAGTGGAGGCCCTGCCCTCATTAGGGTTTAGGGGTTCCGGAGTTTGGGAACTCGGGTTTAGGGTTTAGGGTTTAGGGTTTAGGGTTTAGGGCTTAGGGTTATGATGTTAGGGTTTCGGGTTTAGAGTTTAGGGCCTAGGCGTCAGGATTTTTTCATCGGAAGCAGCTCAGCAATACGAGCATTTGCTTCAATATCAATAT